AAATGGGGCTGGGGGGTCCCAAAATGGGGCTGGGGGTCCCTAATTGGGGCTGGGGGGGTCCCTAAATGGGTCCATGGTGGCACCTTGGGGTTCCTGTCACCCGTTTGTGGCACCGGCCTGTCCATGGTGACACCCATTGGGTGGCACCTGCATGTCCTCGGTGACACCGTGTCCATGGTGACACCTGCGTGTCCTCAGTGGCACCTGCGTGTCCATGGTGACGCCCTCTGGGTGCCACCTGCGTGTCCTCGGTGACCCCGTGTCCTCGGTGGCACCTATTGGGTGACACCTGCATGTCCCTAGTGGCACCCTTTGGGTGACACCTGCCTGTCCATGGTGGCACCATGTCCTCGGTGACACTTGTTGGGTGGCACCTGCATGTCCATGGTGGCACCCGTCGGGTGACACCTGCGTGTCCTCAGTGGCCCCGTGTCCATGGTGACGCCCTCTGGGTGCCAACTACGTGTCCATGGTGGCACCGTGTCCTTGGTGGCACCCGTTGGGTGACACCTGCGTGTCCTCGGTGGCCCTGTGTCCATGGTGACACCCTTTGGGTGACACCTGTGTGTCCTCGGTGGCACCTGCATGTCCCTAGTGGCACCCTTTGGGTGGCACCTGCGTGTCCTTGGTGGTCCCATGTCCATGGTGGCACCCTTTGGGTGACACCTGTGTGTCCTTGGTGGCCCTGTGTCCATGGTGACACCCGTTGGGTGCCACCTGCGTGTCCTCGGTGGCCCCGTGTCCATGGTGACGCCCGTTGGGTGCCACCTGCGTGTCCTCGGTGGCCCCGTGTCCATGGTGACACCTGCGTGTCCTCAGTGGCACCTGCGTGTCCATGGTGACACCCGTTGGGTGCCACCTGCATGTCCTCGGTGGCACCTGCATGTCCCTAGTGGCACCCTTTGGGTGCCACCTGCATGTCCATCCTGGCACCTTTTGGGTGACACCTGCGTGTCCCTGGTGCCACCTGCCTGTCCATGGTGGCACCGTGTCCATGGTGACGCCCATTGGGTGCCACCTGCCTGTCCATGGTGGCCCCGTGTCCATGGTGACACCCATTGGGTGCCACCTGTGTGTCCTCGGTGGCCCCGTGTCCTTGGTGGCACCCATTGGGTGCCACCTCCATGTCCTCGGTGGCACCTGCATGTCCCTAGTGGCACCCTTTGGGTGCCACCTGCATGTCCATCCTGGCACCTATTGGGTGCCACCTGCGTGTCCTTGGTGGCCCTGTGTTCATGGTGGCACCCTTTGGGTGGCACCTGCGTGTCCTCGGTGGCCCCGTGTCCCTGGTGACGCCCGTTGGGTGCCACCTGCATGTCCTCGGTGGCCCCGTGTCCATGGTGACACCTGCGTGTCCATGGTGGCCCCGTGTCCATGGTGACACCCGTTGGGTGCCACCTGTGTGTCCTTGGTGGCCCCGTGTCCATGGTGACGCCCTTTGGGTGCCACCTCCGTGTCCTCGGTGACACCTGTTGGGTGGCACCTGCGTGTCCATGGTGACGCCCGTTGGGTGCCATCTGCGTGTCCTCGGTGGCCCCGTGTCCATGGTGACGCCCGTTGGGTGGCACCTGCGTGTCCCTAGTGGCACCCTTTGGGTGCCACCTGCATGTCCATGGTGGCACCTGCGTGTCCTTGGTGGCTCCGTGTCCTTGATGGCACCCATTGGGTGACACCTGCGTGTCCTTGGTGGCACCTGCATGTCCCTAGTGGCACCCTTTGGGTGACACCTGCCTGTCCATGGTGGCACCATGTCCTCGGTGACACCTGTTGGGTGGCACCTGCATGTCCATGGTGGCACCCGTTGGGTGACACCTGCGTGTCCTTGGTGGCCCCATGTCCATGGTGACGCCCTCTGGGTGCCACCTGCCTGTCCTTGGTGGCACTGTGTCCTCGGTGGCACCTATTGGGTGACACCTGCGTGTCCTCGGTGGCCCCGTGTCCATGGTGACACCCATTGGGTGCCACCTGCGTGTCCATGGTGGCCCCATGTCCATGGTGGCACCCTTTGGGTGACACCTGCGTGTCCTCGGTGGCTCCGTGTCCATGGTGACGCCCTCTGGGTGCCACCTGTCTGTCCTTGGTGGCACCGTGTCCTTGGTGGCACCCATTGGGTGACACCTGTGTGTCCTCGGTGGCACCGTGTCCTTGGTGGCACCCATTGGGTGACACCTGAGTGTCCTCGGTGGCTCCGTGTCCATGGTGACGCCCGTTGGGTGCCACCTCCGTGTCCATGGTGGCACCTGCGTGTCCTCGGTGGCACCTGCGTGTCCTCGGTGGCTCCGTGTCCATGGTGACGCCCGTTGGGTGCCACCTCCGTGTCCTCGGTGACACCTGTTGGGTGGCACCTGCGTGTCCATGGTGACGCCCTTTGGGTGCCACCTCCGTGTCCTCGGTGACACCTGTTGGGTGGCACCTGCGTGTCCATGGTGACGCCCGTTGGGTGACACCTGCGTGTCCTCGGTGGCCCCGTGTCCTCGGTGACACCCGTTGGGTGACACCCATCGGGTGCCACCCGTGTGGCCGCAGGAGGAAGTTTGAGGAGGGCTGGGTGGGGCCGGGGGGGGGCGTGGCCCGGGCCAGGTGTGGCACCTGCGTCACCCGTGGGTGTCACCCAATGGGTGTCACCCGGGTCACCCGTGGGTGTCACCCGTGCCCGCCTATTTGTGCCCCTGCCGGGAAGCGCCGCCACAGAGCCGCGGCGGGCGGGATACTGGGAGCACTGGGAAGGACTGGGAGCGGCAGCCGGAGTGAACTGGGAGTCACTGGGACAAACTGGGAG